TTAAAGATTAACCCACCCGGTCTGCACTCTAGAAGCTTCTGCTTGGTTCCCTCTTTGCATGTATGTGGCATTGTCTGCTATTGCTAAAGCTACCCAGTTAATTGGAAACTCCATTTGCTGATATTCAACTCCTCGCTGAAGCTTCTGCCATGCCCTGTGCATGGGATTATCTGCATTCACTCTGCACTGCTGTCCTCAGACAGTTCAAGGAGTGTGGGTTGCAGCTGGGGTCATTAGCATTTCACTCTTCTCTGGGCGCTTGGTAGCAGTCACCATCTATTTGTCAGCTGCTGGTGAATCTGCCTTGAAGGTGATAGGCCTGTTCCATTCTTAAGAGGCTCATTTAGTCCACAAATGAAGAGACAAAGGAGACGAAAATTGCAATGGACAAGCTTACATGGGGTGGTTAAGTGTGAGTATTGACACCATGACACCTGTCCTGCAGCTCCTGCTTCCTGCAGCTCACCAGGAATTGGGGGCAATCTCCCTGCTATGAACTAGCTATCACCACACTTTTATTTCCTCTCCCCAATAGAACCTGTCAGTCGAAAAGGGCATGGGGTAAAGAGTGAGAGGCAGAAGCAGTGAGCTCAGGGGTGAGTCTGAATGTGATAGCAGGATGCAAAACAAAGAAACATCTGTATGGCAGCTCTGGAAGAAAGGGAATGATGCTGAGGAGACAGCCCTCTCCACAGCGGGGATCAGCTAGGTTTTCTTTCCCTCCTCCCACAGAAGTGGATGTCACAATGCAGCCCTCTAAGCAATTTGATGCTAAGTGCCTTGTTTGAGTCTTTGTTCCCAAATCTCCCTGTCCGAACAGGGAGGGCCAGGATCCCAGGTCTCTTTGCCATCTGTGCAGATGCTGTTAGGTGATGCTTTTAATTTTTAAACATATTTCCTTTCGTTGAAAGCGAACCCATCATTAAAACCAGGGCCACACGAAGATGCAGTCTCCTGCATCTTGCCTCTTTACTGGGCTCTTTTTTTGAGACACTTCCCACCTGGGGCTAGGCTGCTTAGTTAAAAAAATATTGTTTCCCACAACATGCATCTCTGGAGAAATAATATAAAATGTTATAAAATAATATAAAATGTTCCATCAAGGTTTGGATTTTAATTACATCCAAGAACTTTTTTTCTGACTTTGTTTAATAATCTTTCCCACCCACCACTCACCTCCTAGATTAAAAAAAAAAATTAAAGAGCCTTAATTTATTCATCTCAAAAGATTGACATCAAAGCACTGCAGCCCTGGAACATTCCTGCTTAAAATATCTCTGGGTAGGAGGCAGGAGCATTGTTAAGTGGGTAGAGCAGGGGTGGGGAATGGAAGGTAGGACAATTCAGTTCTATTCCGGGTTTGTGTGAAATTAGAAAATGCGTCTGTAAGAGACTTGCCTGAAGTGGCCCCGGTTGTGCAAAGATTTATGCACATGCTTAACTTTATGTATGAGGGGTGAGGTCCTGTGCTGTGCCTCTTAGAGGTGAACTCAGAGTTGCAGTCCAGAAGGGGGAGGGGGCTAAGCTGGAATAGTCCCCCCCCCATTATTTAGGCAGCTCTGAGGTTCTGTTAAAGTTACACCAGCTTTGCTGGGCTGCAGTGCTGCTCAGAATTACCACAGTGCTGCATGCTGCAGCCACACTCTTAACTGGCCTTTCCCACCCCACCATTCCCCCTACTCCAGGGTTTCTGGGGGGGTCCTCAGAAGGCAGCTTAGGCCTGTCATCCACAGTGCCCGAGGTGGGGGAATTCTCCCCCAGCTAGAGTCAGGGCTTCTGGAAGCTTGCCCTGTGCTGCACCTGGTCTGTGGGGAGGGGAAGGAATATAAATCCTCCTGCCCCCGGGCATGAGCCAATCTCACTATTGGGGGTGGGGTCTGGAGGAAACTTTCCCTGGCCTCAGGTTAGTAGCCATCACTGAGCAGCCTGCAGCTGATGCTGATCACTATGGGAGACAGAATTCTAGGCTAGGGTGACCACTCATCTAATCATGTGGCAATTCCCCTGCCCCTTTGGGGGTTGGGTCCGTCTGGTCTTTGGGGATGCTAGGCTGCCATTTTTCCCCAGCATTACCTACATCTACATCTTGCTGCCTTAGACTGCTGCACTCTTGTTCTGGGGATGTTCTGCTTTGACTCTTCACAGGAGGAAATAACCAACCTCCCTGGGCAGTGCCCCCTCGTCTTCGTCCTCTTTGAATTCCACAGCTCACATTTACTTCTCCATGACAGTGCTGTGTGGCATGCAGCCAGCTCCGTTCAAAGGCAAGGCTTTGACATTGCCTGGAGCTCCCTCCTAGACAGGCTCCTCCTGGCTTCAGTGCTGACACGTCTCCCTGGTCTTGCAGAGGGGGAAAAGCTCCCCAAAATAGCAACACTGTGAGAGCCTCAGCATCCCAGCCCTTCCGCCCCCACTCTGGCTTGCTTGTCTGCTGTGTAGGGAATACTGTCTCCGCACCAGTTCGAAAGGCCAGCTGGGGATAGTCACTTGGGCTGATGCAGCAGTAACGCACCTGCAGTTGTGCTAGCGAGGAAAAAAATTACCTTGGCCATCAATCTTCTTGCTTTAGGGATAAGATGCTCACCAACTGGGCTGCAGAGAGAGCCTTTCTTCACCACGCAGTGCAGTGTCACACAATTAGAGGGGGACATGGCAGGGGGGGGGGAGGGAGGGGAGCAAGAATGGTTACACCTTCCTATGAAACAGCCAACAGACAGGTTACCAGACTAGAAGGACAGCCCCTTCCAATTCTTATGCTCTAATGAAAGGTGCAAACAGCTCTTGGTCACATGCTGATGTACTGGAATTCATTGTGGCTTGTTCGCTGGATCAGAAGGATGCAAAAATAAATGCAGGCAAATAGGAAGGACTTATGTTAATCCACATGCATCACAAGACATTTTGCTCACAGGTTTCATGCATCTGTGGTCATATTTTTCAGAAGTGCTCAGCACTCAGCAGCTCTAAGTCCATCGGCTTCATTGAGGTGCCTAAATGGGAGCTGAGCTGTTCTGAAAATCTGGCCCCAAATGGTTAACCAGGACCTTGCTTTTTCTTGTACACTGTGGAAATAGCCTATTTCCCTTACTTGCATCGACTGATCAATAAGATGTTTCCATATGCTGGCAATATACAGATGTTGTATACCCAAAATAGACCAATTCCATGTCACCAAAATATGTGGCACACAACTATATATGTCACAATTTCAGTGTACGCACACTCATGCACACACACGAGTCTCATGCTTATTGTAGATGTTGCCATTTCCTAGTACATGTATATATATTGTGATAGGGTCGGGCCAGATGGCTACAGGAGAGTAATAGAAGGCAGATATATTAGCCCCAGGCTAAGTAGGTCCCTTTTCCCTGGGTAAGGTAACAGGGAAGGTTCCAGAACAATCAGGAAACTTCTGGAGACAATTAAGACCGGCTGATTAGAACACCTGCAGCCAATCAAGAAGCCGCTAGAATCAATTAAGTCAGGCTAATCAGGGCACCTGGGTTTTAAAAAGGAGCTCACTTCAGTTTGTGGTGTGCGTGTGAGGGGCTGGGAGCAAGAGGCACTAGGAGCTGAGAGTGAGAATGCGGACTGTTGGAGGACTGAGGTGTACAAGCATTATCAGACACCCGGGGGAAGGTCCTATGGTGAGGATAAAGAAGGTGTTGGGAGGAGGCCCTGGGGAAGTAGCCCAGGGAGTTGAAGTTGTCGCACAGCTGTTCCAGGAGGCACTCTAGACAGCTGCATTCCACAGGGCCCTGGGCTGGAACCTGGAGTAGAGGGCGGGCCTGGGTTCCCCCAAATCCTCCCAATTCCTGGTCAGACACAGGAAGAGTCGACCTGGACTGTGGGTTCAGAAAAACGGCCAAGCTGAGGGCTGCTGTGAAGCTCCAAGGCGAGCAAATCTGCCAATAAGCGCAAGACCCACCAAGGTAGAGGAGGAACTTTGTCACAATATATATATATACACACACACAATTACTATTATTGTCATAGCTTCTATAGACATACAGTCACATACTTATCAAGTTATCCTCATGATCCTCCAATCGTGGACTAATATTGACATCAAACCTCATGGCTGCAGCCCTAGTAACCCTCCCGGCTCAGTCCTGCACTTGAAAACATCTGAGCAATCCATTCGAGATCCAGCAGGCATTTGTGTCACATATCACATGTGAACGGGAAAGAACTTCATGTGCACTCTGCTCGGTGGGATCTCTATGGAATAATGCAATATTCCCCAGCGAGAAACAGAAGAGACCATGTTTGGATCTGGAGTAAGTTTTGGATGGGGTTTTTGAGGGTTAGGTGTGTGGGTTAGGATCAGCTCTGCAGCTGCTGAAATTTTGCAATCTGTGCTTATAAAACTTTGGCCTCAAATTGTCGCCATCTGTCAAGATCTGCAGTGTGAGATTTTTTTCATCATCCTGGGCCACACCCGAGGCGAAATTCTCTGCTGCATAGATTGATTGTAGCTCCTTTTGGACACAGAGGAGCTGTGCCCCTTCATGGCAGCAGAGCGTGTGGCCCCTGAACTGGATCTGGATTATTGCCTGCTTTTGGTTTGGATCCAACCCAGGGTCAAAACAAGGATTTAGATTGAAGATTAAGGCCTTTGACTCAGAAGCCTCCCAAAACTGGGGGGCAAGGTTCACATTTAAGATTCTGGTTCACCCAAAGAATCTTGCCTACCTGTACCCTATTACTAATCTCTTAGTGTAGCTCTCAAAGCTAGCCCTGGGTGAAGCACTACCCTTTTGTTGTAAAGGGAGCCTGTTTTCAGAGACAAGTTCTGCTATACACAAGGCTCAGTAAACTGCTTGTTCACCTAGCCCTTGATAGATGGAACTCCCGGAACATATTGGTTTTGCGGAATGGGAAGTAATTTTCCTACAGAGGGCAGGGGGGAGGGACATGGCTCCCTGTTTAGCTGTTCCTTTGGGTTTGTTGCAGACATGCTAATAAAGTGTGTGTGGATTGACAACAGCCCAGGCTTGTAGCTGGAATGCCAGCATCACTGTTTAATAATAAATGCCAAAGGGAAATCAGGATGGTCTGTCACTTAGTGAAAGCATGCTTGGACCTCACAACTAATTAACCAGGAGAGAGAGAGTTCACAGGACGTGCCACATGTTGGAGTATAGTGGTGATTCCTTTAGCTGCTGTGTTCAAAGAGTGGGAGCCATCCAAAGAGGAAATGTGCAGTGTGTAAAATGCAGGGCTGCTTTCTCTATTTGGGTCCATGAGTGGATGTTCTTAGAGACCCCCAGTCCTCCAGTTATTCATGGAAACTGTTCTATTCTGGCTGGTTCCCTGAAGAGGATATAAAAATAACCATCAGCTAGAGGCACTGTAAGAAAGAATATCCAACTTTTGTGGAGAAACACGCCACTACAATCTACGCCACTTTCTAAATAGTAGCAGACAGCTGGTGTGAAAGCACAGGACTGGGAGGTAGGCAGTCCTTTTCACAGCCCTCGAGGCCCTTTCCAGCGCTATATTTCTATGATTCTATGACATCGGGAAACAGAATTTTCAAAAGTCACTAGTGATTTCTGGGACTGTGCATTTTTGGGTGCTCAGTGTGAGATGCCTTCAAGGGGGCTTGTTTTCCAGGTGTGCTGAGCACCTGCTATCTGAAAATCAGTCTCTTTTGAGGTGTCTCATGTAGGGCAAGCAGAAATTTAGGCATCCCAAATCACAACCTAGGGTTTGATTCCTAACCCTGACAAAGATTAATCTAGTTGCCCTCAGGTGACTCACATCCCAATTCAGTGCCTCAGTTTCCCCATGTATAAAACGGCACAATAAAGCCGTACCTACCTCACAGGAGTCTTGTGAGGCCTCTCTTATTCATGTGCAAATGTAGAGTTTGTTTGAAAATGGGACAGTTTTCCTCCCCCACAAAAAGTTCTTCGGAAAATGTTGTTGATATAAAATTTTCCGTCCAGCTCTTTGTGAGACACTGCATGTAGAGATGGGCATGAGCCGAAGCCCTCAGTCCATCCCCAGCTGGACTCTGGGGAACATTGATTTGGATGCTGGGACTGGCCTGAAATCTGTAATGAGCAGAATTGGGACCCCAGCTCTGAAGTTCCAATGTGATTCTGTGTTTTGCAGCTCAGCCCCATGTAGTTTGGAGTTCCTCAGGCAGAAGGCAGTGTAAGAGCAAAAGCGTTATTAATGATCACGATAAAACCCTCAGGGGTCTGCCAAAGCAGCCTCAGCAGATGAAGGTCTGCAGTCTCTTACAGTTTCACACAACCTCACCCCCTTCAGCCACCAGCATATGTTAACCCCATCCTAATAGCCACCAAAATCAAGGTCACTTCTCAATCAGCTCCAAACCTGAATCTAAATTCACACTGAATCTAAAATGGGAAGGCAGCCCAAGGCCCGGCACAGCAGGCATATCTCACCACTTCTGGCTTAAGCTCCTTCCACAGCCAATTAACATTGCTTCTTTATTATCTGAATTCTAGTAGCACCCAGAGGCCCTGGTCAAGATGAGGACCCCATTGTGCAAGTCACATGTGATAGAGACAGCCACTGCTCAAATAGCTTACCATCTAAAAAGACAAGGCAGGCAAAGGAAGGACTGATCTCTCCATGTTACAGCTGGGGAACTGCGGCACAGAGACATGAAGTGACTGGTTCAGGGTGAGACAGGGAGTCTGAGGCAGAGACGGGAATTGGGGGCCTAGTCCAGGGACTTACCCATCAGCATTCCTACTGGGCATCATTCCAGAACAACGGGAAGTGGTCTGTCCACTCAGCCTCTACAAAGCATTCTCCAGCCAGCTTCTTCTCCCCTCATGCCAGCCAGGAAAGTGAAGGCAATATGAGGAATTGAATGATGACACAGAATTTATTGGTGCCCCACTAGACAGGGCAATATCAACATCGTATAGTTGAAGCCAACTTGTCAGGTGCAGGGAAAGCTATCCCAGCTTTGAACCACTGGGAATCCAGTTCTGAGCAGGTCAGTAATGGAAGGAAACAGAATCAGCAGCTGATTTCCAGGACTTGTAAAAGACTTGCTGAGCCCTGAGAGGAGCCCTCTCATGTTGATCGCTTTTCAGACTAGGCACTGTTCAAAGACATGCTGTGAAAAGACCCAAAGGTTCCCTCCCCCCATACTTGTTTTACCTTTTAAAGATGTTAAGAAAAAATACCCTTGCTGTTCTTTTTGTGGGGGAATGCCATCACCCTGGATAACAGCAGCAGGAGGGATGTGAAACAGTGACACATGGCACATTGTTCTAGCTATGGCACAGTCCCTGAGTGGCTTGCCCATGGCAGCCCTTCCAATGAATAGGTGCATGGCAGGAAGGGAGGCAGAATCAGTCTTGGGGTGCCATAAAGCTTATGAGTTAAGGGTCTTATTATTCATAAGAAATATGGTAATTTACTGGCTAATGTGAATGTGCAACACTGCCAGCTGCTGGATGTAATCCAAACTGAGCAACCTTGTGTCTTACGCCCTATACAGAAACAGCACTAAAAGATTCTCCTTTAGATCAATGTGGCAGGGCCTGCACTTTGGAACAAAATGACCCGAGTTCTATCCATGAACTGCCAGACACCCAGGGTGTGCCGCACCGTAACAACCATGAGCTGACTATGCATTTGTCTCGCAGCTTTGCCCTTCTGTAGCACCGCTCTCTCTCCAGGGTCTCAACACATTTTACAAATAGTATTTCATTAAGAATCATCGGCTTGGTAAACTGAGTGTCAGAGTGGATAAGTGACTTGCCCAAGACCACATACTGGCCAAGTGGCAGAATTAGGAATCAGACTCATGAGCCTTGCTGCTTAGTGCCATGTGTTAATCACAAGACCATGTGACCTCCTGTGCTTTGAGAAGCAAAACACTAGATGAGGGGCTGAATGGCAAGTTTCTCTAGAACAAGTTTAGACAGAACTGGTATTTCTCTCTCAGCCTGATGCCTGCAGTTGAAAGGGGTGGGAATGAAGCCCAAATATTCATTCACCCTGTGAGAGAATGATCAAGCCCTGAGAGCACAATTTCAGGGCCTGATCCGCAGCCCACTGAAATCAATGGACTCACATAGACTTCAATGGGCTTTGGATCAGGTCCCTAACATCAAAAGGCACTGAGCTGAAACCTGCATCCCACATCTGCTTGGAAAGGAAAGGTGTGGTCAGAGAACTCGGGCGAACTCCAGAGAGGCAAACAAATGTGCTTGCACAGGTCTGTGTTGAGGCAGAAAAATACGAATCAAAAGCATAAGGTCTCAATTTTAATTAAAATCTGGCACCTTCCTTCTCTCTGACAGACCAATTAAGAGTTATAATTACATCATGGTGCTAGTCTGTAACAACCCTTTCCCTCAACTCCCTGGGGATGAAGGACAAGAAAGACTCTCTGGCATGGTAGATTTGATTGATGCCATCCTGTTTATGGGTTCTGTTTTGATGTAGGAGCAGCAACGCCTGGTTATGCTTAAAAGCCCTGCAGCTTTCTAGCTAGGAAGGCAGCTTTCTTATCTCCTCTCCAGCCCCTTTAGCTGAGTGGGAGAGTAAATACATAAGAGGGCAAACCCACTTTCATCTTTCATCACTAGGCAGGCTGGGTACTTCTAATTGTATTGTGCTGTCTCACAGACCTTCACAGATTCTCTCCCTTGAATGCCAGGGGAATGGGCACTCAAGGGCTGTGAATGTATTGTCAGAAAAGTGACTGTAAAAGTGCATATTTATCCTGTCATGCTCTAGCAAAGTGCTGGTGATTTCCACCTCTCAGCTGGTCAACTGATGTATTCCATTATATTATATTCCATTATATCTAGTAATAGGATGACAGACGGGGGCTTTGATTTTGTACTTTCACCCCACACACTGATGGTGATTTTATAATGAATAATAGGAGACACATGTATGTTCTGACAGGTTTCAGAGTAGCAGTCATATTAGTCTGTATTCGCAAAAAGAAATGGAGTACTTGTAGCACCTTAGAGACTAACAAATTTATTTGAGCATAAGCTTTCGTGAGCTACAGCTCACTTCATCAGATGCATCAGGCTGAGAGAGAAATGTATGTTCTGTTTCACACAAGGATTTCAAAGCTCTTTGCAAATACAGGACAATGCCCTGGGGTGAGTTGTCAGAAGCAGGGACTGAACCTCAGACTTCTGGATCTAAAAGTAGGAGCATTGTGCTGCTCAAGCTAAAAGATCCTGCCCGGGTCATTCAAAGGTTGTACAGATTCATGATTCTAGTATGAATGTAGTCCAGCCACCAGAGGAAGACAGAGAGCCACCCAGTGTTAGCCTGGTTTACAAAACCATGAACAGGTGATGGGAAAATGCCCGATATTTTTAGTGGGAAATTTTGAGAAAACGTGGTGGGTTTTTATGCAAAATACCCCAAGGGAAAAAATGTTCAGCGTAAAAACAAGTAAGCAAAAGAAACAACCCTCCCCCCCGAAAACAAAAACTGACAAAGGTTCTTATTTTCAAAACCTGGTTTTGGTCGTTAAATGAATAAATAAATAAATAAATAAATCAGAAACTAAAACCGGCACTTTTTTTTCTCAAAAAAAAAAAATTTGTATCAAAATCTGTTTTTTTTTAACCAAAATATTTTGATTTTCATAAAAAAATACAAAAAAAAAAAAGATGAAATTTGCCTGCAACAATGTTTGGTTTGGCCGAAAAGCCATTTTTCATCCCCCCCACCCCGCCCCTCAAAAAAAAGTTTGGATGAAAAAAAATCAGCCAGCTATAGTTGTTATCCTGGCTTTATAAATAAAGAAACTGAAACGAAGGAACGCCCAGTGGTGAGGAGAGTAGCCTATGACTGGGAAGACCTGGGTTCAAGCCCCCTGCTCTGGCACAGACCTTGTGACCTTGGGCAAGTCACTTGGCTTCTTTGTACCACCATCAATTAAATGGAGCAAAAACGCCTTCCCTCCCTCACAGGGGATAATACATTAAAATTGTGAGGTGCTCAGATACTGTAGTAATGAGGGGTTTACAAGTACTTAAGATGGCATCAGAAGGTGAAGTGACTTGTCCAGGATCAAACAGTGACTCAGTCAGTAAAAGACCCTAAGCATCCTGTTCTGCTCACAGTCCTGCAACAAACATATAGGAGGGAATTCCTCCCAAACACTCCCAGCAACAGAGACAGGCCTTTGTTGCTCTCCAAGGTGCTGAGTTTCCCATGCACTGAGCAGAACAAGGCCAAGTTCCCCAGGCACCAAGTGGAAGGTGCTGCATAGTTCTCGCTCCAAAGAGTTTAATTTCCTCCGCAGGGTTCAAAACCAATCCACCTGGGATTGCGAACCA